TGAGGAGGAGGAGGAGGATGAGGAGGAGGAGGATGAGGAGGAGGAGGAGGAGGAGGAGGAGAAGAAGGCGACGTAGATGCTGCAAAAGCCTACTCTCATTTTACCTTAATTCACGAGCAAGATACCTTTCTGCGCCTACTCTGCTATAGAGCATAAGGTGGACGTCGTCAGTCACGACGAACAAAGTAGCGTATTTGAGTGCGCACTCCCCTGGAAAGGCTTCCACCAAGTAGGAACTTGGACAAACGTCCTTGTTTATGAATTAAAACTAGGCATACTTCTGAGGGAACTGATGCTGGGAAGCCTTTCGGAACTGTGTGGCGGAACCACGAACTGCGAACCGACGATTTTGACCTCTCAATCCACTAAAACCTCAAAGCACAAGTTTGACAAACACACTCAGAAGTGGACCATTTCAATATGAAATCCATTTATGTGGCTGCTTCTTTGAGAGTATGTTTGAAGTTACTGGTTGCCGTAGTTTATAAGCTCCGTATGTGCTAGCTAGGGGGTCGAGTTTGCACATTTTCGTTCCGTCAAATTCGATAAGCCGAAGATGACTCAGCTCTGGGAAATTAAATCTTGGAATGTACAAGTAGTCTGCCCTGCATTCCAAAAAACCTGCTATTCAAGTTATTTGCATTCCGGAATACACCACATTTTTAAAACTGTCTAACAAGTCGTCGGTGGTTTACCATGTCCAGAGGTCTTAATTTTAAAAAAAGTAAGACGCGTAACCTTGACTGAAGGTCAGTTTGTGTGTTCGTCGCTTGAAGACCCCAAAAGTTACCTCTTGCGGTAATGAGATCTGCGGTATGAAAGCTACACCGAAGACGCGTTATTCTCTGGTACGCTGTTCTTGTTTATTTTTATTTGCTTTTTAGCGCAAACTCTTCGAAACTCGCAAAAGGAATATTTCTGTGTTAGTTTTATTTTAATTGTTATTTTGTAAAAGTGAGGTAGATACTAGCCGTAGGAAGTCAAAAGTTATGGCCCGCGCTGTGAAGACCGAAGGAGTAAAAAGTGGTGTTCGTAGAATGCGTGGTAGGCCGCGGACGAGGGATGCAAAGACCAGAAATTCCAGGAAGAGGACCACACCCTCGGATATGTCTCAGCGAGCCACTTCACATGCGGTTGCACGTGAGGGGAGTCTGAGTCCTGCTCAGCGCGAGCCCCCACAACTGGAACTAATGCCTGCTGTTGAAGAAGACTCAGACATCTCCTTGATGTTTCCGTCCTTTATTTCCATTGACGACCACTTAAGTCCCGGCAAATGTATTTTACTATGTCCCTCGACATCGTGTCGCAAGCGATTTTCAAATCCGATTGAACTCGTTTCTCACCTTCGTAACCTGCATCGGACTTCAAACAACTTCGAGAGTTCTCTGTCCCAAAAGGGCGAAAAAAATTCGCTCGTCGTGTACGCATGCCCCATCTGCCGACATACACAATTCAGTACTCATACGACGAGCTCGGACTTAGTTATGCTTTCCGAACACGCGGATAGGTACCACGGAAAGTCCCTGCTTCCGGTAATGACTTTTTTTCACACCAATTCTTTAGTCGGATTTTTCCTATTTCTGTTCCATCTTATTCGACCCTGTTAACAAGGAAGTTTCAGCAAGTGAGCGTATTCCGACAAATAAGGAGCCTGATGTATTCTACCTTCCCTGCCGATCGGAGCGCAACTATAGTCCAATTTTGCCTCTCCTCCCTCATTCCTCGACAAATTACTTGGAGCCAGCCCCTTCCTGTAAGTTC